TGGAAATTATATTCATTGAAAATGAGGGAAATTCAACTTGTTAAACATAGAAGTCTAACTCATGCAACATTTTCAAAAGAAAATATTAGTATTTTCTATGATTTGTACATATTAGGTCTTTCCCTTATGAGATGGTGAAAAACTGAAAATGGAAAATACTTGCACTTTTTTTTCTTCATTAAATATGCTTGTGAACAGTGTGATTTTGGGTATATCATGTCATTTCCAAATTACGTTTTTCTGTAAGAGCTGAAATATGTAATTTTAACATCTTTCGAGATACAAAGCACATCTAAGTACACTTTTGCATTATCTCTTTGCCAGGTTCTGGTGTAATCACATCTACCAAAGTTTTTAATTATGAAATGGATCCAATAAGGTTCCTATTTATAGTTGACACCGGGGGGCCCAGGAGACGGGTCCTCACCATTAATATCATTGATGTTCCCGAGCCCCCAGACTGCACAGCTGACCCTCAGTTCTCTGCAGGCACAGGTATGGGCTGTGGTTTTTGTGGTTTATTTTCAACAGCTGTCTACAATGAAAGAGGTCAGGACTCTCAAAATTATGCATGTAATGTATGTTTATAGAAATATGTAAAATATGGGCAGATATTCATATATACAGGAAAACATATAATATCTCTCTGAAATAGTTCAAAAACTGCTTCCCATGTAGAAATTTTTACTCTACATTTATGTGGTTAGAAAACAAAATCATGAAAAACAGCAAATGAGATTCTCCAAAAGACTTATTATAAAAGAAGTAAGAAAGGAGAGAAAAAGTAAATGCAATTCTTTGATAATCTAGTATGAAAATTTAAACTTTCACTTGTAAAAATACCAAAAGATAATATCCTTAAGGTTCAAAGTGTTTTAGTTTTTCAAGGAGTGAGGAATTCAATACAAGAGTAAATGTAATATTTCAGTTGTGATATAATAATATAAATATGAGGCTTTTGTTACTATAAAGCAGATAATGTGTATGTTTCTGTGTGGGGGTGGCCCAAGTACAGGATATAAGGAATGCATTCTCCGAATAGCCGCTGATTTACTTTGAACCCAGTCTCTGAGAGGAATAGACAGAAAAAGGGGAGGGAGCAGCTTTTCTTGCAGAAATAAGTGTGTATGAAGTGCAGAGCGAATAGAACACGGTGATCTGATCGGGAGGAATGAATGTCTCACGTGGTGCAAATGGAGAGAAGGTGAGTAATACTACACAGAATGATTATTTGAAAGGAACGAAGTATGTTTTCAAAAGTCTGCCCTTGTCCATAAAGTAGTATAAATCCTTTGAAGTACTGTAAGCAGGTGGGTATTTCAAGTAAACTCATGGACTGGGTATAAAGATGACAGGAGCAAAACAGATTGAGTGGGAAGCATTGCACAGGGCCAGATAATATTTGAAGTTTTGTGGTCAAGAATGCAAAGTTAATAATATTTTTTATTTAAGTAGTTTGGATTCAAGCTCATAAAACAAATAAAGGAAAAAATCTATAAATTTTTGATTGACAACAATTTAATAGTATGATAGTAAAAACCATGACTATGATTTGTACTTCAGGTATACTATCAAGAAAAATGGATTTTCTTTTTGGGTTTTTGAGGTAACAGAATGTGCTTTTATTGAACAGGGTGTTGAGTAATTCTGTTTCAGGGAATGGATTTCCTTGCTCAGCTAACAAGTGACTCATTCAGAATCTTATGTTGCTTGCAATCACATTTTTTTTAACTTTTGTGAATAAAATCTGTCATCATGTAATATTATTTTCTGCTATCACTGACCATTGTTTTCCACTTAGGTGAGGACATTGTGATGAATACTTATTCTTCTTTCTCTGAGACATATTCTTGTCTCACAGCTATAAAGCCATTGTACAATAAACAAAATTCTTTGCCAGATAACTCAAAGCAAAATAATCCACACTCCTCATACCTTGAAAGTGTGTCATTCAATGTCCACTCTTCTCATCTTCCCAAGATGGTCAGTGTGGTAATGAAGAACAACAGGGAACTGAGCTCCCTTTGTGATTAGATTGCTGGAATTCTCCACATTGGAAGTGATGAGAGTAGCCTGTATGGTCTCTATTTCCATCTCTCCATTCTGCCATTGCAGCAAGAATGTTGAAACAACCTAAAACAAGTGGGTGTGTATGTGTTCTGTTAAAATTTTATTTGTGAACAGTAAAATCTGAATTTCACACAGATTTCCTGTGTTACAAAATATTAGTCATCTTTTGCTGTTTTAAAACTATTTTAATCACTTTTATTTAAAAGTATAAAAACTATTCTGAGTTCACACAGCGTACAAAATGGTCAGAAATTGAGATTTGACTCATGGGTGGAAGTTAAAATACCCGTAGAGCAAAAAAAGGAGGAGCAGTTCTAGGGTTGGGTCAGTAATCCAGGGAAGGAGTGGAGTGGGTGGGGAGGGGACAGAGACAAAGGGAGGAAAGTCTAGAGATACCAAATAGGAAATGGACTGAGCAGGAATTCAGTATACAGGAGGAGAGGAGGATGCTCAGGGTTCTGCCTGGCATAAATGGTGTGAGCCTCAAGTACACCAGAAAAACCTAGGGACAGACCAAATTTGAGAAGAAGACTCTTGAGCTTGCTTTCAAACCTGTCCTGCTCCATAAGCCTTTGTTCTATCAAAGGGGGGATTTAGGTTAGCAGCTGTGCTCAGCAGTCTTGCCTCGGGCTATAAATGTTTTGTAATTGAAACCATGGATTTGGATGAAATTACTCAGACACAGCAGAGAATTAGAATAAAGGAGGGAATGTGGCCAAAGCTTGAAGACTCCTACACTTAATGACGGGAAGACACTCAGCCTGCCAAGGAGAAGAGCAGCCAGGGAGCTGGTAGGGCCAGGAGAGCAGTGCGTGAGGGACAGCGAGAGGCGGTCCACAGTGCCAGGACCAGCAGGCTTGGAGTCCCAGACCACATACCCACTGCCAGAGACAGGCATGGTGGTCACTACCGAGTCCGCGAATGGTTTTAGAGGTGTTGCGGGGGTGGAAGCCAGAAAACTGAGACTGGTTAGTGAGATTGGAGAAAGACATAACATTGCTTTAGAAATTTGAGTGTGAATCTGGAGCAAAGGCAACAGCAGAACTACCAGAGATTTCTAGGTTCCTGTCCGGAACCTAGTTCTTTTCAAAAGGAGACATTGGGTAATTCTGTAAACAAATGGAAAGGATTCATTTGGGAGGCTGAAGACGGGAAAGAGGAGGTGAGAAAGAGATGAGATTGAAGTTCAGGTGGAAATAGTGAATGATTTATCAGTCTCATCTACTCGTCCGTCTTCTAAACATTTATAAGTCTGTATTCACAATTTCAATTTATGTCTATATTTCACAAATTAAAAGTGTCTTGAAGATTTAAATTTTCTCCTTTTAGCTCATACTCTTAGCCCAAAGTCTAAAAAAGCACCACTGGGTGGAGGGTCTCTTTATTTAGGTGTGTGACTGGAAGAAATTTTCGTTATTGTTGCTATTAAAATTCAGTACTAGGAAAACATAGTATGCTATTCCTTGATTTGGAAAATCATGAAGGTTAACTGTAAGTTTGTCTTACAAATACAATTATTAAAAAATTACTATTTTGAAATTTGGACCACACAAAACAAAAGCAACTGTTCATTTCATTAAGTAATTCATATTATGTAGTTTTAAGTTGATTATAAAAATAAAGTAGGGTTTTTTGTATATGCAAGTGTTATATTGTACTCAAATATCACATTCATTTCTTCAATAACTATAGAAGGAACCTTGTTCATATTTCAAAATGCAACATTTACACCTTTCTGTTGATTCAAAATCTTTCTTTTACCAAGTTTTACTGTTACCGGTATTGTTTTTGGATAAACACGTGCACTCATTTCTCCAGGCAAACACAGAGGTGTATACAGTCACTTTTAATATTGACATCAGCTTTGCTTTTGAGTAGTAACTTGAATACTTTTAAAAAAAATCTTGGTGAAGGGCTCAGACTGCATCCAGAAAATCTCTCCTGGGAGCTCCATGTAATTACTTAGTGTCTTTGAGGGCCAGAACCACCCGCTTCCTGTTGTCTCTTCCCTGTTGGCCCTAAGATATGAAGGCAGGAGATGCTGCTGCGAAAATGACACGATGGGAAGAACCTACATCAGACTGCAGATTTTTAAGACATTGTTGGGTAGGATTTGCAAAGCTATAATAAGGATTTTGCCTGATCTGAGAACTTAACGGCAGTTCAGGAAACCTGCCAATTTCGATTTTCCCAGGAAATTTGTCCAGAGGTCCTCAGAAGTTTTAGAGTAATTCCTACAGATGTACAATGCTCTTTTTCTGCCAAGAAAAGGAAGAAGAGTCAACTGTGTAAATGTTTGAGATGGACATTTATGGTCCAATGAGATGGACCCTGAGTAGCATTGGTCTGGGGGCATGGAGCTCATCAGTAACTTTGGGGGAAGAATTTCGGTCTATAGAGAGGAATAAAGATGAGCAGAAGGTGAAGAAAACTATAGACTGGCCCCAAAGGGTAGCGGAAAGACAGAGTCATAGATCAGGTATGCTGGGTCAAGGATGCTTTCTTAAAGGGAAGAGGCTTGGGCATATTTAACTGATCATGAAAACTAGGTGGAAGAGAGGGAGAGATTGAAAATGGAAGGTAAAGTTAGAGCAAGAGGAGGGATAGGGTTATCCTATGGATAAAATTCTCTCCTTCGAAGTAGAAGCAGAGAAGAATGTGCAAATCTCAAGTGTCGAGGTCCTGGGGAAAGGTCAGCTGTCACTGGCTTTATTGCCTCCGTTTACCTTGAATGGCCAGATGGGAGCTGTTTGGTGCACCTGAGTAGAAGGCAAGGGGTTAGAGGTGTGGAGCAAAAGACACCGTGTGAAGTAAGTGTAGACAGGTGAGGAGTAGCAGAAGAGGAGCAGTGAGTCCAAGTCAGTTACTGCCCTAATGATTCTCTTTGAAATTGTGACAGCTCGGGCTAATGCTTAGGAAGTGTCGAAAGCATGACATTTGTTCAACTGTTAGAAAAGTTTAAAAAAAGTAAGTGTTCTGATTGAATCAAAAATAAGTTCTACATGCCTGTATCTGCATTTCTAGTATGCTTTTATTTATTCATTGTTTTACTTAAAAGATTTATTATCTTAAAATGTGTTCTGTTTTTGACTACATGATTTTAGGGAGAAATGTTTGGTGATGTGTCTTTATTCCCTTATGTTTCTTTGTATAGTACTAACCATGCATGGCAAGAACAGAGCTAACTGGATTTTTACATTTTGCGTAGACTTGATTCTTTCTGGTAACAATTTTACAGCATAATTAGGCCTGTTGTAGCTTTATTATTTGTTTTTCTCTTAGCTATCGCTTTTCTGGGTCCTTCTTTGCTTGTTGCAAGCCTTCATGGTGGTATGGAAGCTGAATTTGTTGAGTTAATTTCTTAAAGTTATGAAGTTCGGCCATGCATTGACTTGAAGTTATTTGGATGGCATGGCTTTGATATAATGTTATTTCTTCTTTTATTCTTCACTGTTTTCAGAGAAAATATTGGGAGACATGACTCTAGATAGACATCTTTATCCTTTTTCCCCCAAATCTCCTGTTCATTCATTTTAAATGTGACTACATTAGAAAAAAATTAGGCTTATTTGGCCACTTCTTAACATTTTGTTTTATTATGACATATATTTGATCTGTCAATTTATGTTAAAAATAGAATATTTAAGAATGTCTTGTTATCAAATTTCAGTTAAACTTTATTTCAAATTCATATTCCAATAAGCTGTAGTGAAACAGACACACACACATGTACACAACACACACACGCACACAGTCACAATCAATGCAGCAGAACTCAATAAAACAATTAACCTGACTCTTTCCTGGGGCCCCTCCGGTCACGGACCAGGATGGGGAAGGTGCTGGAAGGTGGCTAAGAACTGGAGCTTCATCATCTATACACCCACTCAGTAGGGAGCAGTTCTTCCGTCTACCTCATCGGGTCTAGAAATGACAGTGATCTTTTGTGATGCCACCCACTGACTCCCTGCAACACAGTTTGTCCACGTATATGTCATGTTCTGTCTCATTTAGCTGCAGAGAATGCTAGGAAGTGAGGCAAAGGAGCTCCATGACAGGAGTGGTAAAAATCAGGAAAACAAAGAAAAATACAGAAGTGAGTAACACACAGATTGCAGCCTTAAAGCAGGATCCCAGCCCTGCAACCTGCTCTGTGATGAGCAGTGTTGTGTTTTTCCTATGGAGGAATATAAGGAATGTAGAGTGTACTTTACTTTCTGATACAACATGTTGATTGTTGCTTCGCAGCTGCTTTGGAAATTGACGAGGACTACCCCTTATTTCAGCCCATTTACAGAGTGACGGCCACAGATGAGGATCTGGGTCACGGCGACAGGCTGACGGTAGGTGGCCGCCACTGTGTCACCCATTCATGAAGCCCAGCAGGCTCATGCACGGAGAACCGGGATGTCTTTCAAGAGTAGTTAGCACAATTTATAATTAAGAAGCCTTCAGTGAACCTCACAATGACACGTATGCAATTCATGTTAGTGTTGCAAATAGCATTTTTAGAAGAACTCATGTTCTTCGGTTGTACAGAAAAATCTCATGATGAGTTCTCAAGGTGGAGGGCTGGCGGGAGAGGTCACTGCTGAGAAAAACTGAGACTTTGCCTTTTTGATGCGAATCAGAACTGTTTTACTTTTCTAGCTATTCCAGTGACACATGTGAATGTGATTATGTAAGTGTCTATATTTTTTTCTGATGTTTCGGTACCCTAATTATGCAGTATCTCACTCAATGAGACTTGCTTTTCTCATAGTTGATTCATAGTTGTAAAGTCTTTTAGAGATTTGGCAAAATGAAAAGAACCCATAAAGTTCTATCTGGAGAGTCTAGTGGTGTCCTGGGCTGCAAAAGCCAGCACGCTTGCTATGCAGCTGTTCCTTTTGAAGGTGAACTGAATCCATCGAATGCGTTTCCTTTCGCACCGCAGCATGAAGTCACGGCGCACCCGCTGGCCTAGGGGGTGTCCTCTGATTTAGGCTACCTTATGGCTGGACCCCTGGCTAGTGGATAATCCTGGAGAAGTTGCTAAATCTCTTGATTTCCACTAGTATATATTTTTATGTATATTCCACAATTACATGTATTTTTTCTTTGCTTAACCTTCAGTGATATATGGCCTGCTGTCAGTCAAAGCATTCAAAAAATCTCCATGGAGTGTTCTAAAAATATTTTGTTGTAGACTAGCCAATATGAAATTGTTAAGAAATATGAGCTCTTTCCCATTAGATGACGTCTTTTCAATAGATTAAAAAAACAACAACCTATGGTCCAGCTGAAAGCAGTTATTACCAGTTCTGTCATTCGCAAGAATACTAGGGGAGCAGCAGGTGGTTATTTTAACCTTCATGTTCTAGGAAATACTGTTAAGAGGAGAGAATGAATTTTGGATTAAAAAGAAATCCACAAAAGTCACTAACTTTTATTTAATGAATTTTTACCTCGATTCAAACTACATTTTGTTCAGCTACTTTTGAGAATAGATTTATCTACTTTTACCTCTTTTCAGAAGTGGCGGCAAAAACTACAAGTGAAATGAAAAACAAAATAAATCATAAGCTATATGTTCAACTGTGCTAATATTTGAATATTATTCATGCTCATAATTCTACTTTATTTTGTAATATTTACACTGCAATAATGAGTTTATTTTGTATATTCTTTCAGAGTTGTATTTATTTGTAGGATTAGAATTAAATATTTTGTGAATTATCTAAGTGGTTTTTTTTTTAGTTCTACTAAAAGCCAGCAAATGTTTTGGTTGTGTTGATAGGGTGAACAACTCAACTACTTTCCTTTATCATAAATAACAAAACATCAGTGGTTCTAATAACAGCTAGAACATAAAGAAACAACTGAAATTAATCAGTGTAAAAATAGGAGACATTCTACATATTTGCTCTATTATGGTATCTTAATAATTGTCACACTTTGCATCCGTTTTGGTGTGAGTAACGGATATTTACTTTTCCAGTACACAATTGAGACTCAGTTATCTGGGCCAAGGAAGGGAGCGAACTCTTTCGGAGTGGATGCTATAAATGGTGTTGTCAGCCTGGGAGGAGAAGACACTTTGGACTTTGACAGAGGATACCATGTAATTAACGTATTTATTTTTCTACATAGAGTAAAAGGGAGTTTTCATAATTTTGAATTCTTCATGAAAAATTAAACACCAGTTAATTTAGAGGAAGTGTTAATATCTTGGGTGATTCATTTGAAAGGATTTATGAAGTTAACCAAAAGTCTGGACCCAAGCCTCATGGGTACCCAAGCAAAGGGGTCATGACTTAACTTTTAGATCTACCTATAGAAGTTTAAGGAAAAAAAATATGTCTTATATGTCATTTTTAGCAGGAAAAATCAAATTGGTAAATCATTGCTATTTAACTTTTTCTAAACATCAAAGAAACTAAAAACAGTCAAGGTGGTTTTTTTTGTGTGTTTTTTTTGCTGTACCAGGGATCGAACTCAGGTCCTTGCACTTGCGAGGCAGGTGCAGTGCCTAAATCCCTAGCCCGACAGTCAAGTTTTTACACTGGAACAATTTGGTCACTAACACCCTGACTCACCTAGAGTGTTAAAACACTTAAGTAGCTAAGGTACTAACCTTATAGAAGAATTTGAAACTAATGTCATAGGAAAGAAGATGATTTGGGGGAGCTCTATAAGAAATGTAATTTAAGGAAAGCATTTCAGGCTGATTTTTTAAAATTTGGGTGAAAAATGAAGTTTATGTAAGTAGGAACAACTGCCTAGAAAGAAACCAGCTACATAGCTCCCGAGTTTGTGTTCACACAACAATGAGTTGTGAGGTATGAGAGATAAAGGAGTCTATAATCATGAGCATCCCTACTACTATTGAAAAAAAATGTCTATTTCCAGAAATGCCTCCACATGGAATAACTCAGTGAGGGACCAAGGGGAAATATAAGACATTGTAATAAAAATAGACAATTTACTGCTGATTCATTACCTAGAAGAAAAGAAGAATCCATAGTCGATCCTGGTCTCAACTTTCTAGTTTTAAAGAATGTACATAAGTGGTAGCCGGAAGTCAATGGAGTCTATTCAAATTCAATTTGTATTTTGGACATTGGAGGATGGTGCAGAGGCCAATGATACAGAGCATTTAGAAAGCTTGACTGTTAAGAGTCCAAGACGAGATGAGGTGGAGAAGGCATGCAGGCTGTATGGATGAGCCCTGTGGATAAGCATTTCAGATTTCTACTGCTGACTCTTCTGGAGCTACTGCTACTCACACATTCAGTAAACTTCTAGCAAATCCTTCAGTCTGTTTCATCGTTCCATTAGTGCCCATGACCCACTGTATAAGATTTGACGCGTGGTCACATGTCCCAGAGATGGAAGTTTGGGACGGTTGTGTGAGACTTGACGCAGCCTGGAGTGCTGTAATTGCTGGGGTTGCTGCATGCTTGCTCCAGATGGATGGATCACGTACTACCTTGCAATGGGTAGCTTTTCCTTATTGTTTTCTCCAAGGCTACACTTGCTAATATGAATGAATGTCTAGGGGCTGAGAAGGGTGACAGGTAGACAAGGGACACATTTGTGGTCTAAAGATGTTCTCATCTCTTCAAAAATTACATCACATCCCGGAGTGGCCCCTGGTCCTGTTTGTAGGGGTTAATGCCAAACAGCTGGCTTTGCCAGTAGTTTTCAGTGCATTTGACTTTGGGTTAACAAGTGATTCTAGAATTTGTTCATAGTTTTGGTTGAATTTCATCTATATTTAGGCAAGCAGCCAAGTTACACAGAGCTCTGAATGAAATTTAATGGCCTATACAATGAAGCTATTTTGAAATTTACTACTAATCCAGCTAAAAAAGCACTTATATTTTCTTTACTTAAAAGAAAAACGAAGTGTTTCTAACTGGCAAAAAACCCCCACCTTGACAGGAAACATCATGTAGTAGTATGTCCATTACCAAATGGTATATTATAAAATTTCTAAAAAACTGTTTTTCAGGTATTCCAGCTTACATTGAGAGCAACAGACACCGCAGGCCTGTTCTGCCAAGGGATGATAATTATCAAGATTAGAAACATAAACGACGAAAGGCCTCGATTTGAGTAACCATGTTTATTTCAAAGTTGTAACCACAATCGTTAAAGTAAACTTTTCACATAAATTGTGAATAAAAATAATGAATATGTAAGCTGTATAAGAACATTTTATGATGTTCTGTTAAAACTGTATGATTAGATATCCATAATGCACATGCTGATCAAAAGTGAAATATGCATTAGAAAGTACTGCAAAGCAAATTTGGAAGTGATTAGCATGTAACATGGTTAAAATTTTTGGTGTGCCTTTTTCTCCCTTTGGTTTCTTTCCCAAATTTGTTCTAAAGCTCTTACATTTCTCTTTAATAGCTACAATAATTTTAAATAAAAACTTGAACTTAAAACATAGTTTAGAATGCTTAAAGTATTTTAATTTTCATGTTCCTAAAGTATAATTGTAGCATTCAAAAAAAATGTTTCCAGATTGTAAGTGCAAATTCAGATGTTTTTCTATACTTGAAAATGTGATAATTAGATGTATTATCACAATCTAATAGTGATCAGATATTTCCCTTTAGATCCATAAAAATGAAAATGGCAGTTTTCAAATTACTTTTCTCCTATTAGCAAATTTCATCTCTACACGTGACTAAGAAGAGTAGCTCACTGAGTGAGACCCACAAACTCTGTGTTTATTATCTGAAAAGCAGAGGCAGATCTGGAGCTTAAGTGTCCTTCACCTGTAGGAACAGCTGCCCAATGGTCTGCCTGTTTGGAGGCAGAGGAAACATCACCGTTGGGATGACTATTCTGTTACTGTCCTTCCTTTCATGAGAGTGAACTTACTACTTTGACTCAAGTAGTAGAATTCAATACTAGACATTATAAGCAGTCCCAAAATTGCCAAAAAGGTTGTCTCCAGATATTTTTAATCTCTTGAGGTATAGCACAGTAAGTAACAATTGATGAGATTAAAAAGTTCAGAAGGTAAGTTAGGCAGTTCCTGTTGTGTGTGAAGGAAGACCCACGCTGGACTCCCATGACTGAGAAGGATGCTTTTGGGGATCCTCCTCACCATTCCCCTACCTTCTCCTTGGACCTTACATTCCTCTGAAGTCTTTCTTGCAGCTCCCTCCAATCCCCAGAACTTGTGTTCCTTCCTCTTTAGATTGGTAGTAGTCATGGGATTGATTACACACCATCACATTGACGTCTACACTGCACTGCCTCTTAGCAGTGAGCTCTTGCATGTCATGAGCTGGGGCTTAGTCACATGTGTGTGAACTGGCATGACACATGGTAGCTCATCAGTAAGGAATGGCTCAATGGAGGGATGAGGAAGACAAAGATTTAAGTTTCTGAAATGTTCTAGAAATGACCATGGACTTCATAGATGACTTAAAGAGATGAACAGTAAAATTATAAAAATTTTGATAGCTTGCTCTAATGAGTTATTTGGACAGCATTTCATTACACCAGACAAGAAGATAAAAATGAATATATTATATCCCCTATGTGTAATTGTGAACTATTCCATACACTGGATATTTGGAGTAATAGAGGGCCACTATCCCATTCTGTTTTCACTTTTCCTCTCTTTTGTCATGATATCTTTGATGTCTGGTTTCATACCCAAGACTGTATGATTGAAAACTAATGTTTATGCAAAAAAGAAAACTATGTAACTGCACGCCACCGATAAATTTCATACATTTGACTAGATTTGGAATAGGTCATCATTATTTGAAAATTGTACGTGTAAGAATTTGCAAATTTGTATCATCAACATTTTTCCATCACCATTTTTCCATTTAGAGCATTTCCTTTGGACTCCATTAATGTGACTGAAAAGAAACCCGTTGGAGAAATTGTAGCAAGAGTAAAAGCGACAGATCCAGATGAAGACAGCAGCATCACTTACTCCTTTAAAACTCAGCAGGAGATGTTTGGCTTGGATGCTTGTAAGTTTTAGATAAATACTTGTAGCCTGCTTTGGCTAAACATTCCCTATCTAATCTCATTCCCTTTAGAATCTGGGCTGGCAAAACTGGCCTTGCAAAATTAAACATGGAGCAGGAAAACCAAAAAAACATGTGGCGTTTATAGTGGCTATTTTTCTTCTTATAAAAATGGCATTCTTTTGAAACAAGGAGTGACATAGACCGTGCTTTTATAACTGGCCACCAGCTTTCAAAGATAATTGATACAAACAGTTCTGTGAAATCCCTGTAAGCCGCAGGACACGGAAGCCTAGCTGTCCCCTCACTTGGACTTCTCTTGTGTAACTGGCTGTTGGTTATGGGTATATCTCTGTCTATGTGGACAGGATTACTCTTCCGAAATTCTGCTCTCTTATGAGCTATCTTGGTACCATAGGTCCAAAGAAACAGAGGCACCAGGCAAACAGAAGCAGGGGGATTGGTTGAGTAGCCTCTGAAAGGTTGCTGTGTCTGTTGCTAGAGTGCGATGTCCACGGGGCCGGAGTCAAGGCGAAAGGAAGGATAGGAGGTAGGGCATTCAGGGTGGACGAGAACACAGAAGCGCGTGCTGGACCGCTGCTCCAGTGTTGTCTGGAACTTCTGTTAGTCCTGCCTGCCTCTGGCCTCGGAGGCCTCATGCCCGTGGGAGCTGGGGCCTTTGGTCACAGGGCTGATGTATGCATTTGTTCAGTCAGCGACGCGGGAAGACCTAGAGTAGCAAGTAAGGTGGGCACAGGCTCCTGCCAACAGTGCAGCGTGGACCAGCCCGAACTCGGGAAAGAAGCTAAAAGCTTCTGTCCCTTTCTAGACTCCATGATGGCCACAGATCTCCCCGAGGGCTGGACAATGCCAGAAACACAAAAGATAGAGTTCTGGGGAATATAATTTGGCTTAGTAACATTAACACTTCAGAAAGTCAGAGTACTGATCACCCACTACGTGAAATAATTTATTTGAATCCTTAGAGTTGTAGGCAATTTATGCATTTATCTTCAAAATGTACATTTTGGGGAGAAGAAACTAGCTAAGGGAAGTATAGGTGAGACCGAGGCCGAGTGGGAGTCACGAGGCCGTTCGGGAGGAGGTCACCGTACAGGAGGCCAAAGCACGAGAGCAGACGTTGGGGAAGGCACGTTTTGTGCCGGGGCTGAATGCTCATTTCTACCTCTGGAAATTTCCCTAGGCTTGAACCTCAAGCTCACTTTCCGTCTTTTTAAGGGATGAGATTAGCTTAATGGCAGAGGCAATGAAGATTAGGATTTTAACATGGTTTGGCTAGTTTTTCAGGCGAAAAATGCCAGTAACTTTGTTGTTTTAATAAAGCTAAAACAGAATGGTTCGTGTTTGGAATTTTTCAAATCAGGAAGCTTCCTGTGCTCCATGAACAACAACAACATACTAACAATTTAGAGACTTGGGGGAAGTGGGACAAAAAGTTTTAAATGTGTAATCATTTTTAGGCATGAGCATAAGGTAAACAGAAGGTTTTAAAGAAATAATTTCAGTGGATGTATAATAGCTAAATAGCACTTTCTTCCACATGGAAAAATAAAGTAAGTGAATTAAAACTTCATCCACGTAAGTAAACTAACAGACTTATTTACTTGAGATCAGTCATTTTTAATTTATTGCTCTCATTAGCTACAGGAATAATTACTCTTCTCCAGCCTTTGAATCTTGACAACCCAAACAGCTCCAAAGCCTACTCCTTGGAGATCCAAGCCACAGACACTGGAAACAATACCGGCACGTACGCATTCACCGTGTGGGTGGAGAGTGCAGACGATGCCATCTCCTGTGACCCAGGCTTTCTAACAGGTAGAGTTCAGTCAGTTTTATTGACAAAACTGAAGAGACAGTGATGCGGCAGCAGTATTTTAAAAATATTATCGTGTCAATAATTGTTCTAGAATTGTAGTTTGTTTAGATTTGTGAAGGAAAAGTTTTAAAAAACTGAATGAAATAAGAGTCGTAGCACAGGCCTGAGAGGAAGGGAATTGGAGTTAATGAACCTCTAATTCAAATTCTAATTATTTCTTTCTGCAATGGCAAAATTATTCTAAGTTTATCTGTAACATAAATCAACATGTAAATCTAAATAATAAAGCATAATTTTCACCTCCTAATTTGTCAAGGTATAAAAATAATACATCAAAAAGCAGCACTGGGCCAGGGATTTAGCTCAGTGGGCCTGCCGCCACCTGCCTGCCAAGTGCAAAGTCCCGAGTTCAATCCCCGGTAACCCCCCAAAAAGCATCATTGCTTGAGGAATGAAGAAATTAGCCATTTTTAAGATAGGAATTTTGAAAGGTACAGAATACCATTTTAGTAAATATTTACCTTAAATACTGATTATAATCTTTGTCCCAGTGTTTCCATTTCTTAGATTTATGAAAGTACAGAATATATAGTTAAGATGTATTGCAGAATTTGTAATAGTGTAATATTGGAAGTAATCCAAATGTCTAGTAGTGAGAACTTAACGATAAGGTGGTATATAGATTTGATAGTTAGCCATTAAAAATTATGTGTTCAAAACACAATAAACAAGAGATGATACCTAACATAAACTCTAAATAATTTCCTTATTTTTGTGTACAATAATGTGATGTTGATAATTATAAACACATACATTATTTTATACAGAATCATTTTTGGAAGATTACAGTAAATTATTGTTTACTAACTTTTTAATAAACATGCTCTACTGTTAATTTTTCTTAAATTAAAAATTCTACATTTAGTTATACAATTTCAGCTTCTTGAATTAAAATCATTACTTCTAATAGTACGTAATTTGAGGTTCACATGTCTCAATTTTTAAGTCCATTTGATTTTGTTCCCAAAGAATACTCATTTATATTGGTGTTCAGATATATGTTTCAGTAGATTTAAAGTGATACACAGAGGTAGTTTTGGTATGATTAAAATAGATATGAAGGGAGGGAGGGAGATGGAGGTTCATGTTTGTGGAGACAGGATCTTTTGGATCATCGTGAAATAATATGATGTTCTTTGTGATTTCCTCTCAGTACCCCCAAACTTTAGTAAGCGTTAAAAAGATACACATGGATCTCAAGAAGGTCACTCAGGCCTGATTTCCAGCACAGAGTCGCTGTCCCTGGGTGAACTTCTCAGCCTGCTAAGATCATGGTCCTCTTCCTTTCCATCATGTGGATTGGGCCCTGGGCTCAGAGAAACAGGAAAATAATTCATTACCCAATCAATGCAGTCTAAGTCTGCGGAACTCTGTGAAGTTACTTATAAAGAATAGTCTTATGATTTGACACACATGTATTCAATTTACTTACTGTGTTTAATTATCGAGTTGCTCTAATTAACCAGAGTAAATGACTAAATTAAGAGAATCTGCTTCCTCAAGTCCAATCTGAAGCAAAGGAACAAAATAACCTTGTCCTGTTCACACAAACATTGTTCCATGACCTTCTTAGACATAGACAAGTATGAAGTTTTGCAGGACTACCTAATGCAAGATTGACTGGACTTGCTGTCCAAGACTGAAATGCTCAGTAAGCACGAACCCTTCTTTTGATAAAGATATCATTTGTAGAATCTCACAGCAGAGGAAATAACTGCCAATCCTTTAAATGGATTTGCTTCCATGTTGACACTGGGGTGGGGGGGGGGGACAGACTCGCAGGGGCATTTCTGGAAGGAAGGCAAGGAGCAGTGTGTGGAGAGGGAAATTAGCACTTGCCTTGGTTTATAAGATGAGTCCTGTGAAATGTTTAACCCTCAGAACCACGGCCTGGCAGAGGATGGACTTTATCCACACTGCACAGGTGGGACATCAGTGGAGAAGTGCTCAGAGGTCTCTGTCGTGCTCTACTTTTTGGACATTCTTGAGAAAATGAGTAAAATCCTCACATTCTAACATAACAGAATGAAAGCTGAGATGCTTTAGCGACACTGATGTTGTACCAGACACTGAGATATCATCTCCCCTTCCACACACTAGTCCAAGACTTAAAAATTGAGGCATATGAACCTCAAATTTTGTTAACTCTTTCAACGTGAATGTTAAAGCAAATATGCATTTTTTAGTTTCCAGTTTTTTCTTGAAACAAACACCTTAAGAAAACTATATGAAGAACAAGAAACTAGAGACACTTATAGCTAAATGGATGAATAATGAGGCCATACTCATGTATGTGTAAATGCATATCTGTATACATGTGTATACACATGTGTAAATACTGAATAGTTTCTGTGATGTGAGAAACTGAAAGTGTAAATAAGGACTAAAATGATTGAAATGAATAAGTGATTGTTTGAAATAGGAAGAAAAGGTCCGAAGGGGTAGGGGAAGTGGGAGAAAGGAAAGAAGGGAAAGGAAAAATTATAAGAAAAGGAAAAATGGAAACAAAGTCTATGTAAATAGGGAAGGGAGCACAGGGAATGGGGAAAAATAAGAACCAAGATAAATCATGTACAGGCACAAGCACCCAATGATAAGTGTAAATGTATTATATACCTAAAATGTACCAGTAAAAGAATTTAAGCAAAAAAAAAAGAGGAAAGAAAGAAAACTATATGAAAGACAGGCACAGTGTACTGTGGTCTCAGTACAGGGGTGCTGAAGCAGGAAGGTCCCTTGCATCCAGGAGTTCAAGGTAATCTTCACAATAGAGGGATACCCTGTGTTAAACAAAAATAACCAGAATAACTGAAGTAGAAATTCTTGCAGGGTGAAGACTCTTAGCCCCTGTGTGAAGCCAACAGTGGCAGGAGAGTGCTTTAGTGTAAGTTGTCATTCACAGCTGATGTATTGTCCAGGTGTGTCCCTGTCTGTTCCTGAAGATGTCCCTGCCTTGACCTTTATATACATGATTCTTTCAAGAGACCCAGATCCGGGACAAGAAGTTGAAGTAAGTTTTTAACTATCACTTTTTATTTTTTCAAATTTGATTAAAATATCGGGTGTGTAATTTTCAATGAGCAAACAATGACTTCATCAGGGTTTTAATTAAAGTCTTTCATTTTACAATGAATATTGAAGTGAGAGAAGGAAGATGAACATTCAAACATAGTAGTGTAGCATAAGAATGGTATGTCCTGAAATGGAAGCAATAGACCTAAAATGGTCTGACATTGTTTGAAAAACTAGAGCTGGTATATTCATTAGCATTTATCTGATGACATTTATACACACACAGAATGTTCTTTACATTGTTAATTCCTGTTTATTCATGCTACACAGGCATATTTTCTGCATGATACACATAATTTGAATAAAGGATATTTTAGATTTTGAGATTATTTCTGGTTTCAGCAATTCTTTATAAGAAATAATGAATTAATAAGTAATAGATGACAAAATGGTTATAGCTTAAGAGGGGGTAAAGAGAAATTTAAAATAATTTATTCATCATTATTTTCTCAGAAATTTTTATGGTATAATATGAGCCATAATCAAATTAAATTTTTAAGAAAAATGATTTCTTGATTATATATTATAAATTATATTAATATATTGGAATATTTTGCCTTAAATGTAGTGACTTAGTCAAATTCTCCATAGAACAGACTTAGATATTTTTTCTACTTGTTCATGCTTGTTGTAAAAATATTGGCTTATTAATATCATTTGGGAATATTGTTGAAGCTAAAATTTGAGGGAACTGCTTTCTGGAGAATTTTGTCTCTATGTAATTTTTATGGTCACCTGATTATAATGAAGCATTCATCAGCATTATTGGTTCACAGGAGTTTTAAACCGAGTTTAAAAGCCAACATCTTTTCCCCTTGCATTGTTCTTCTTTGTGTGGTTTTAATTTTTGTGTGTGTGTTTGATAATAAAGGTATTTAAAAAAAGAAAGCCAACATAGAGGAGATGGAAGTGCTCGATTCCCAAGCTAGAACCTCCCTGTGTGTGTGAGTGTGTGTGCGTGTGTGTGTGTGTGTGTAGAGGAAAGGTCAGGCCATGGAATAATGTGTGTTGGCGGTGTAGGAACATATGTACAGGGTTAGGGTAGGACAAGCATGTATGTGTAGGATGGCTGACCCCATACATGCCAATTATATGTTCACATGTATACTTTCTACAAGTGAAAATTGTTATAAAATTCAAATTGCATTGTAAAATCCATTGGGAAAGAACAACACAACAAAGATTTGGAAAATGATAATTATAGTAAATCCAAAATCATCCTGAAAAAGGAAGAAACAGTTTTTTTCATAAGAAATGTTTAAGGAATTTTCGTCTAACACAGGCCAACTTTGGTTGTTCACTAATGAACAACTGAAAGTAAGGTAATAAGCCCATCAAATGGCTGTCGTGTCTTTTTAGAAATGGCACTGGGTGTCACACCTCCCTGGTTTGATTGTGTTTCTCTGAGCCAGAATCTGCATGTAAATTTTTTTACAAGTTAGTTTCTTTGTGGAGTCTTTTCAAAACCTTTAATATTCATCTTGAACACTGGCCCTTTTATTAACAGGGATAATAACAATGGATATTCCTATGTTGATGTCCATAAAAACATCTTTGGACATAAAAATACATTCTTTTTGTCAGACAGAAAATCAATACAGAGATGAGATCAAATGATTTCTTCCAAATAATTCAGCGCATCTACCGCCTTTAGATACACTTCCTGAGTATGCAATAGGGAGGGATGCTTTTTATATTGGAAAAAGCTGTAAATGCAACAGCAGAAACTAAACTAATTATGAAACCAATGATAGCTATTTTACCGAAAATGCTCTAGTACTTAAGCACAAAAACCAATGGAAAAAGCATAGCTAAATATGTGAAAGAATGTGCACATTGTTTTGAAGTCTGGAACTAAAGAGTAAGTTCAGATTTTATTTATGGGCACTGTCTTCACAAAATTAATTTTGGTATGGCTCTTGCCAAATAATTGCATCAAAACTGTCAGTTCAAAATTCATGCTTTTTCACTAATGTATTAACCATGTTTATGTGGTTTTCTTCCTAAGTTTTTAATACTAAATTCTTCAAGTAATGCCACTACCTATTTTGCTTTGGATTCATTGAATGGTGTCATTTCTAAAACTGCTGAGCCTCCTTTGGACTATGAAACAAATCCTAAGGTGAGACTTAGTGTGAAACACAGTATTTAAATATTCAACAATTTGAAATAATCATTAAAATTTACCTAAATGGAAACAAAAGTTACTACATTTAAGTAATACCATTTTTGCATTATCTAGAATAAATACATACTTATTTTAAGAAAATAAATGTAAAAGCTTATTTGTTTCATTTTACTTTTTATTTATACTTGATTGAAATATCACTTTTGTGTGTGCTTCTTCTGAGGGTGTACATAGAAGATAGCGAATAGATTGTCCATATTCAAAAGCCTAGAACTATGGAAATGTTATGTGTGGTTTTAAAAGTTACATTCCTTTAGTCTTGAATTCTATGGAGAATTGCATCTATCTTTGCCTTATTCGACTGTGGAGGCCTGGCTTAACCTTTCTTTCCCTCAAACCTCAGTCAAATATCAAGTTTGCAAATAATTGGAAAGAAGAAGTTTATAAGGAGACAGAGAACAACACAATTTGCTCTTTCCTAACAAATTGTTCTGGGAAATGAGGCCATTAAATTTCAAGTGTGTTCTGTATATTTTGAATATTTTTCAGTGTTTCCAGTAATAGAATTATAAGACATTTTAAAAACAATTTGAAAACCATGGCTTCTTAAATTACAAATTATTTAAATAATTTGGCTAGAAATTTTCTTATCATGTGAGAGTTAAAAAATAAAACAAAACAGCTACTTTTCTGGATTGGGTCTCATAGCCAGCTTTGCTATATCATTCAGATTGCCTTCATTCTTTTTGCTTCTTTGTTCTTTCATATAGTGTTCAGGATTAACTTTATTAAAAAGTCTCATTGACATTTTTATTTTAATTGCATTGAATTTGTAAATTACACTGAAGAAAACAGGCATCTTTGTCATTGATAACCTTGGAAGATTCACTCATTCATTTAGAACTCTAAATCCTTCAATAACATTTTCTATGTTTTTTATCCATAATGTTCTTTCACATCATGTATATGCTATTCCTAGACATTTTGGATTTTATTGCCGAGCATTTATTTTTAAGTGTTTTCCATGGTTATAAATGAAATTATTAATTTTGTTATTTTAATCTTGAAAATAGCAACATTGTAAAATCCTTTTTTGATTCTAATAATTCATAGATGATCTTTTATTTTCTGTTTTATGTGTTCTATGTTATTTCCATAAAATATCTATGAAAAATGACAGCTGTTTTTTCTCTCTAATCCTTATAATTTTTTATTTGTTACATGCTTTACTTTTCTGATGAGGACTTCCAGAACAATGTTTACTAGAAATGGTGTTAGCAGGAATCCTTATTTTGTCATGATTTTCAAAGATATTGTTTGAAAGTTTCAAATAAGAATGGCGTTTGCTGTAGGGTTTTGGTAAGTCATCTTGACTGAATAAAGAAAACTTCATTTATTACTAGTTTGTTAACTTTTATCAGGAATTTGATTTTGATTTTATAGTCTTTTCCTCCATCTTCTCAGATTACTGTGTAATTTCTTTATCTTTTTCTATCAATACTCTGTGTTACTGTAAAACATTTTCTATGATTATCCATCCTTGTGTTCAGGCATGTAATCAATCCCATATGAGATATTTTTCAATATAGATTACTAAATCCAATTTATTAATCTTTTAATTAAATTTTGATACTTGAATTCTGGTTAGCTATCCTGCTCCCAGCTATTACTCACAGTGCTTTGTATATTCAATTTATATTTATTTCCCAGCTTGAGCTTATCTTTAGAAGAGCTTTCATGTAGGAAATCTATTTGGGCAATTTTGAGGATTTGTTCCTCCAGAGGATTGATTGATTGATTACATGTGACCTGGGTCAGTTTAGACGTTAATTTGATGTCTTGGTACTTCTCAGACCACATAATTAATAGGACATTAGGCCCTCTCTCTCTCTCTCTCTCTCTCTCTCTCTCTCCCTCATAATTTCATATCAGGAGTATTCTGGAAGGATCGGGGCCAGTTATTTTACTCTGTACATCATTCTGAGCTACAAGCAAACCTCTGCTTGATAGACTGGCTCCCTCCTTCGGTTTACATGGCAGTCTTCTCCATTAGAATGTAATTTCTGCCAAAATAAAGTTATTTTAATTTAGTCTTTATTTCTAGAATATTGCACCTTACATCAAATAATCAGTATTCAAGGAAGAGTTTTTTAGTAACAGCATGAACTCTAGTTACTGGTTCAAAAGCATTTTCTTCACTATTCTGCATTCCAAATTACCCTTGTTGTCAACCTTACCCTTACTTCTAAGAGGTAGCTTTTTGCATACACAACTTAGACATACTTCTCTTACTGTATAGGCTTTCTTGTTTGCTTATTTTGTTTCTAAATAAATAATCGATACATACTTTTTTGCATAGTAATTTACTTAAATGGTAATGTTGTTGTGAATGTCAAATTTTAGTAAACCTTCCTTGTGATCTTCAATTTCTTCTTACTTAATTTTAAATATTCTTGCCTTTGAAGGCTCAATAAGGTACAATTTTATCAGATTCAATGTATTTTGAAGCGATTACGTGTACTCATTATTACAGAATTAAATTTAATTTAAAAATTTAAAACATTTGCTGATTTCATTATACCTAGTTATTAACTTATCAGGCTACATTTCCTAATCATTTGGAGCACTGGAATATCACTTCTTTAAATAAAATTTTACATTTTATGAAATTTATAAAATATCTCAGTCTTTCAAAACTTTCCAAGATTAAGATGGTTGTTGAGCTTCACAGATTTTTTCCCCTAAATCATGAAACAATTTACTTCTTTAGTATTATATTTCAACAAATTTTAATCTCAGATTTTACCTTAAATGTAGTATGCAGAAACCTACTAAAATAGGACCCAAGCTCCCTAAGAGGTGGAAGGCAACATCAGTAGCAGAAACTGTACAAGAGTATGAACCATCACCTCTTTCATCAAATGATCTTCAGGTGTTTGGGGAATTGTATATTTTTATGCTCCCAAATTTTAAAGTACATTGCAATTTTACTTTTTGTTTTTCGTACCGGGGATCGAACTCGGGTCCTTGTGCTTGCGCAGCAGGCGGTGAAACCACTGAGCTAAATCCCCTTTAAAGCATATTTTATGAAAAGAGAAATTGTATATTCCAAGCACCGGAGAAGTTGTGTCTTTCCTTGTCTATTGCAGCATTTCCAGTTCGTGGTCGCTGTGAGAGCCCGGGGCAGAGGCCCCACGGAGTCCTGCGTGGGTACGGTCACCCTGCACATCCAGGACGTCAACGACGAGAGCCCCGTTCTCACGTGAGCCTCGAGTCCTCCAGTACTTAGAAGCGGGGATTTTACCATGAAACTGCTATAACAGCATAAAGCTCAATGTTTTACATTATTTCCATTCTAAATTTTCTCTAGCAAATGCAAAGCAGTCTAGATAGCAAACTTCTTTGAACTCTATCTTGATGCTTTTTACCTGCAGTGAAAGTCAACTCCGTTTACTCTTTGCTCTGAAAACTACAAAAGATAATCAGGTTTTTTTTGTTGTTGAAATAGAATTCAGTTTCCACTTCCTGGTATTTATTGTAAATAAAATATTATAGAGCATGTACATCGTTATGTTCATATTGTGAAATCGATGTAGCCACTGGAGAGAATTTGGATGATAAGTACTTGCTGGCATTGAAATGTTTCCATATTTAATGAATATGAAAGGCAAAAGTGATTTGTGCGGTGGTGGTAATATGTTCTTATCTGGAATGCAGTAAAGTTTACTGGTCAGTAAAAGGGACTACAGAGGGAATGTAGGTTAAAATATTAAGTTCATTTTGTAATAGATAATCATTCTCTAGTATGGGTAGCAATTTACAAATGGTCTGAAGGCACTAGCTTTAAGCTGCTACTGTACATACCATATGAAATTTAAAACATTTACTGTGTGACATAGATGAACAGAGACATTTGTTTACACTGAGCAATAAAAATATCCCTTTCGTCCCACAGATACATGCCGGACGCTCCTCTACATATTCACGAAAATGTGCCGCTTGGCACGAAGCTGGTGACGTTAACAGCGACTGACAGAGATGCAGAGGACTCGGTGCGCTATGAGTTTGTAGGAACACACAAAGAATTTTTTATAAATGAAGGTATAATGATTTTTGTGGCTAGTCATTGCAGAAAGCATAATATGAAGTGTTTTTCACCAGTTAAAAATAAGCCTGATTGTTATTCTATCAGGAGGAAACATCTGTGACATACCTGTCAGTGCACTTACCATGTTTACGTGGAGTAACTGTACCTACTCCTTCCTTCTCTGTGTGTGGAAAATATCTGCACAACCGGCTTCTCCAGAAGACTCTGGGAGATTCAGACCCACAGCAGCGTTTCCCAGCACCACACTGTAGGATTTTTCCTCTGAGAAGCAAGCTTTCCCATGGAAAACAGAATGCTAGTTAATGTAGATTGAATATCTATTGTGGATCACATGTTCTCGAGAGCATGGTGTGTACGTAACGATGCCTCTGTGATTGTTCTGTCCCAACTCCCATCTAACAGGCAGCATCTCGGAGGAGTTCTCAGACTCAAACTCACACAACTAATTTTGGTGGCAAACCTGCACTTGGAATCAGTCTGCCTGATTATGACACCTGTAATGCTATACACCTTCCCCGTGACCCGGAGTCAGGAGTTCATACCTCTAATCATGTGTGCATAAAGCAAGGAAAGCAATATGTCTGCTGCTAAGAGTGGTTGTACTGCCAGCCGTGGTGGCGGTGCCACTGGGCCTGCCTAGGCTACACTGTGAGTTCAAGGCCAGCTTGAGTGGGATCACTAGTGAGACCCTCTCTCAAAATAAACAAAAAAATTAATGTATTTTTCCTTATGTGAAAAAAAAACAGGCTTGAACACATATTGTCCCCCGCTGGGAGTCGGAATGTGACAGGGTGAGGTTAGCCCTGGGGTGGGGGAGCAAGACCAGGGCATGGGGCTGGGGCAGGGCTGAGGGAGCAGCGTCCCCACCTGCAGGGGACTGAGAGAATCACTACGTGAAAGAAAGAGGAAGCCCAATTTCTCCTGCCAGAGATGTGATTACAATTGCAGAGCATGAAAACATGAGGGTGAACCATATGGGAACAGATTAAAGTTGGCACCATCAGAATGAACTTAGGGTTTGCATTACATGTATTTGTACAAGTGTGTATAGTTACACAAATACTGGTGGAAGCATAGCGTAGACACACACAGACGCATGCATGTGGAGTCTGTGTCCTCATAAGAGTAGCAGAGCTTGGAAGCATGATACTACAGTGGCAATGGCCATGCATGCCTGTTACTGAAATATGACTTCTCAATGGCGTTTTCCTCACAAAAGAACATTAGCAAATTGCTTTCTGTGGTTGCAGCAGTTAAAACATATGAAAAGCCAGAAAGCAAGAATATATTCAAAGAATGGCAAAAAATGTTAGTGAGATACAGAAATTACCTAGAATTAGATCCCCCTACCCAATGCTAGGACAATTTGCATATCAAAATAATTGTGTATAGAACCAGCCAAGATGCCCATGGCAGATGCATGGGTAGGGAGATGTGGTTTATGTGTACGGTGGGTGCTCCTCACCCATCAGCAGAAGGATGCCCGCAGTGGTGGGCTGGGATCACTGTGTTAAGTGAAAGAAACTAGATGTAGAAGGCCATCTCACATTCTCTCACTCATTTGTGGAAAGTGAGAAGGTAATCTCACAGGAGAATGCTGGGGTGCATGGAAGGGGTGGGAGGGAGAGGGGATGGACAAAGTGAGCTGAGGAAACTGAGAGGTGGATAGGAGGAATTAGCCCTGGTTTTCTATAGTACAGTCGAGTAACCTCAGGTTACAACAGTGTGGTGCATTTCACATCAGCTAGACCAGCACAGAAGTTTCCAGTGTATACAGGTGATTAACACTGAAGGAGATGAAAGTGCTTATTAACCAAATGTGCTCATTGTACATTGCTATGTGCACGTAACTATCATACCATGATACACTCTCAGAGTGAGTATATATCAATAAAATTATAAATCCTCATATTTGTAGACTATGACCCACCATATAAAATCAGTCACCTTGAGTCCATGGAGACATATATATGTGTATAAATTGAGAGTTTGAGGAGGAATAGAATGTTTACATAGTTTCAAAATTCAGTAATAGTGGTAGATACATGATTTTCCCTTTAGTTTCATGTTTCTGCCTTATGTGATTAAGTGTTTTGTTTAAGGAAATATGTATTAAGACCTATTCCTTCTTGTTAGAGAAATGTCTTTTATATAATTATATAATTATTGTAATCCTTTTTTACTTTGAAGTAAAAATTGAATCGTGTCAGTTAATATAGTCTCAGCATATTTTGTTAAGTCGATGCTAGACTAGGATACCTAAGTGTGTAATTTTTCATTTAATCTATTTCTATTTAATTTTTTTATATTTATCTTATATTTGTTATATATTTAAAAGATTTGTATAATTTTCATTAGATAAATTTAAAAAGTCTTAGATTTTTTAAAAGACAGAATACATCTCAAAAAAAAGCAAGGTAAAATAGTAATTTAGGTACGGAGCATACTGGCAGCCACCAGCTTAGTCAGGTAGCTAAAGTGGATATCATCAGTAGAGAGACAAACTGAAGTTAGGTGATGAGAATGGAGTAGAATGTCTGTGATATTTAGCTGAGAGCTGCACAACCTGAATCTAATCATGAGCAAACATCCAGCAAGGCCAGTTTGAGAGAAATTCTCCAAAATTCCTACCCTTTAATCTTTCAAAAGGCCAAGGCCATAAAACTCAAGGGAAAACTGAAGAACTTTTGCAGATTGAAGAAGCCCAAAGAAACATGACATTGAGCAATTCTGAACTCAAACTTCTGCTATAAAAACATCGTGACAATCAGTGGAATTTGAATGAGACCCTCAGTATTGCATGTTGCTGTGATCATTCTGCTTTTGATGTGTGTATTATGGCTGCATTGGAGAGTACCTTTGCTTTTGGGAAATGTACATTAAAACATCAGGGATGATGAGGCATTAGGTCAACAAATTACTCTCAAGAGAAAAAAAATATTTTCCACAAATTTTTGATTATTTAAAGACTTAATTACACAAAAATAGACACACACACACACACACACACACACAAAGATGATAGCCATAGAAGATAGGTAGAGAAGGGCCAGCACTTTCAATCATATTCTAAAAATTCCCAAGGAAGCAACCCAAAGCACTGGAACAACAAATACACAAAAGTACCATTCAGGGATACGGCCCTATAATAAAAGATGTGAAGTTCCATATTTAAAAAGAAAATGATGTTCTCAGAAAGAGCAACCCAGACTGGCTAAATCTGAGACATTTTCTAATAAACTACTAGATGATAACTTTAAAAACAGTTATTTGAGGCCCTGGCCAGAAAAGACTAAGTTACTTATAAGAGTGTGATAATGAAATTGTAAATAGACATTTGGCCAGGACCTTTTTCTTAAGTTAATGAAATAACATATTTAGAAAACTTGAAGATACAAAATGAACGTTAAAAATATGTATGCAGCAAAATGATCTTATAGATAAAGACAGTAGAGAGATATTAGGGAGGTGGAAACAATAAAGAGCTTGGATTCCTGTAGTTCTTCCTGAGCAATCCACTAGGCAATGCGCTGTAGATAACAGTGCCCAGAGAGTGAGCACCTCGAAAGACACAGTGAGCACATGCTGTGCAGGGGAGACCTAGCACACTGTTCATGAGGGTGAGCACACATAAGCTTCCAGGCTCTGCAAACATGGGCACAAAAATAATCAGAAAAGCAGTGGCCAGTTTTCTTTGTTATTTGTGGCACTCACATCCACTTTACCGCCCCAAGTACCCCCATCTTCTCCCTGTATATCCTGTGCTCATTTTTCCATGCTCAGCATAACCTTCACTTTGTGCTCCACACCCACCATCACGACCCTCTCATGAGATGTTTTCTGACCATCGCAGTGTACGAGGTTCCTGTCTTCCCCTGTCAGTAACCCAACCCCAGTTCTCACAGATTCACAATGTGACTGGTCTGTGAGCTTCAGCAAGTCAGTGGCTGACCTTTATTGCACCCTAAGAACTGTTTTACCCATGCTGTTGCTTTAGTTCATAACTTACTCATCTTAGAAGTGTTGAATATGTTTTGATCTGGTTGCTTTTTAGATTCAGGAGAGGTTACAGTTGCCTATCCTTTAGATTATGAAGATGTTGGCATCCCAAAGTCTTGGGTATTACGTGTCAGAGTTTATGACAGCCAATGGGCACATTCAACAACTGGGACATTCACGGTGATTCTACAGGATGTGAATGACAACCCACCTCGGTGCTCCCAGGATATTTACGTGTGAGTTGTGATTGCCATTGCTCGGTCTTTGGGTTTTCCATAGGGAGGAACAGGAGAGAAATAAGTGGGTGAGCACCATACCATCTCTGGATTAAAGGAAAAACTTTTCATTCTTTTCTTCACATATTTTCAAAAAACGTGTAACTTTTCTTCCTTTCTCTTCAGAGGCATAAGTACACTTGCTTTATTTGTGTTCTAGCCAAGTTTAACATTCAAGTCTGAAATGCTCCAAAATTCAAAACTGTTTGTGCTCTAGTGTGATGACAGATTTTGGAGCATTTCTCCTTTTGGATTAGGAGTGCTCAACCCAAATACAAAAAAAAAAAAAAAAAAACAGAGGGAAAACATAGGTGTGCGTGCTTCCCATCAAAATATCACCTGTATGGGACTACCAGGAGCTATGCACAGGAGGATTCAGACAGCCTTTCTTGTGAAGCACAGGAGATGCTGCTTAGCAGAAACGCTGTATTGAAACACCTTAGGAAAGGTTTTGGGTGGTATACCCATGAATGCCTTATCTCCCACTTGAAACAACATTTTGTGGATAGATATGCAGAGAAGCATTTATGTGGTAATAAAACAAGCACAGAATCCACATATAGAAATAGTGTCTTCGTTCTACTGTACTTCAACAATGACATTTTCTATTCTCATAGAAGCTAAGAATCAGACGGTGTCAACCAGAGCCTGGAGAGAGTTGAGGGAGAGAGGGCTGGGAGAGGTGGATTCGTGGTGGGCCCTGAATTATAGTCAGGAGCAAGAAGTTTTGATGCACTATTCTGCAGTAGGCTGACTACAGATAATGAAATGTTCTGTATATTTCAAAACACAAAAAGGATTTAGAGAGTTTTCACCATTTTGAAATGATAAACTTTTGAAGAACTAAATATATTTAGCTAATTTAAGGACCTCATAAGGTATACAACATTGAATCACCACCTGGAACCCCAGAAATATGTGCCTTTTGTTTGTTTTATATACCAAGTAAAAATAATTTAAAGAACTAAATTTAGTTTGTAAACTTCTTGCCAGAGGCTTTTTTTGTTGTTAAAAAATCAAAAGTTTGTAACAGCAAAGACTAATTCTGCAGCCAAACCTATAGTACTTTGCCTTCTCTTTGTATTCTAGATAGCAGGATTCCAATTTTCATTGGAGAAATACTAGAAAAGTTTGTGTTTAGGACAGAATTGTTGCCATCTTAACAAGTTAGCAATTCATCTTTTATTTTATTGGTTTTTAAATCCTAAATTATTTTCAATGATTAAATTAGAAAGAATCTTTTAAAACTGAGGAAAAATGCAATTATAGTAGTTTATACTAGCCAACATACTTACCACTGAGCTCCTGTGAAAAATCTTAAAGACCTGCATCACTGGCTACATCCAGGAAATGTCCCTGTGTGTCTCCTGAGAGGAGCAGCCCAGATTTCCTGGCTGTGCTGTGTGGCAGACCTCCCTGCTGTGACTCAGGGAGACCAGTTGATTCAATTGCTATTGGCTTTTGCCCCCAGCCACATGGAGAGATGGGAAGGCATGTCAGAGACACTCCAAATTTCAATCATCTTACCTAGTACCAACACATGGCTTTCCATTCCCATTTTATTTGCCAGTTCATCTGGCATATGCCAGGTGGGAAGTGTTAGAGAAGTCAGGATTATACAGAGGGACATTGAATATTGTAGAATCAACAATCCCTGCTTACTACTGAGTAGATTTAACCCCAGTAGTTCTCACTGGCCTTATTTTAAATGGAGACAATGATATTGTCTCTTCCTAAAAGAATAAGCATGATTCTATTAATTGGAGGAGGTGACACAGAGCTCTAAGATCTACAAATATAAGATTATAAATCACAGGTACAACTTGTCATTTTGTTCAATAACATGTATGTCTTAGGAAATTTGCTTCTTATTAATTCAACATAATAGCAGTTCATTACCCTTGGTCTTAGCAAGGATGCCAATTCTTTTTTTTTATATAATTTTTGACCAACACTGTGATTTTCTCATTGGCAAAGTAGTTGTTTATAATGTGATCCTGTTATAAAATGCCTTTTATATTAAATATGATCATCTGCATAAGTCTAGATTAACATGTTCTACCACTTTTTAAAAAAATTTTACTCTTTACAGAATTGAGCTTGCTGAAAACACGCCAGTCGGAACTCATTTAGTCTCCCTGGCCTGCATAGATATGGATGGAGCTTTTCCCAATAGCAACATAACTTATCATTTGATTATGGATCCTTTTTCAAATGAAACCTTTAGTCTCACAAACAATGAGCTAAAAGTAAGTATTTTAAAGTTGCTCTCTGATTGTGGCCCTGTGATTAACCCTAGATAGAAAAAACATTTTATTTTTGTTATTTTAAACTTCTTAATGAACTACAGTAGTTCAAATAGCTGATGGCAGAATTTGTTCCGGGATTTTCAACTGAACCTTAACTTGCTAACAACATATCCTGCTTTGGGATGAGCACTGAAATGCAATTTGATCTTGGGAACTGAACTGGGAAGGTTATATTTCCTAGAACAAATGGTTCTATGACAAAATACTGTCTGTTCCTTTGGGGTTTGTTAAAATTACCTTTCAGAAATACATTAAATATTGAGTGTAGAACAGTAATAGGATAAATGTGCATACTTTAGAACTGCATCCTGGAATATGCAACACCATAAATATTTTTCTAACTCGGGGAAAATAGATTTTATTCCCAGTAGGTCTGGAGGCCTAGATCAGCCACCTTTTGCTGCATGGCCATGGACTGTAAAGAGTAAGCTGGGTCTGACTGGTCCAGTCAGTCATTAGCTTGCCCTGATCATCAGCAGCAAACAAACCAGCAGGGTCTGCATGAATGAGTCTGAGGTAACACTTGTTCTTCTCACCTTGCTTTGGTGAGGAGGACACCTGCCCCAACATCTTCCATACAGACCTGGTCACCTTTGCATCTGCGTCTCACCCTGTCCAACCAGCACAGAGTCACTTTCACAATCTTGAACTACTGTGACAAATTTAGTTGGGCCTCCCAGTCCCGGTGCATGTGCTGTGGTCAGCCAGAGCCTTCACAGTTTGGGGTCAACACACACACCTTTCAGGAAGCCATCCCTGACTCCTTCTCTCTCTCATCTGAGTCAGATGTGTCTCCTTGGATTCTCATAGTCTTTTGTTTCCCCAGTCAAACAGTGAGAGAAAGAAAATCTGTTACTAAACTAGTGTCTGCCACATAATAAGTATTGGCTAGATATATTGATATGTTAATCAATGGCCCAATTAATGAATAACAAATGAACAAAGTTAAATCGTGAAATTGCTTTGCAAGACACTGACAGGATTTAGTGTCAAATTACTGAATCAATGCTTGCTTTTCATAGTTTTATGCAACGGGAATATATTACCAATACGATCAGAATATTAAAACAAACCAAATGGATTATAACTATAGATGCACAATAATGGAAAACAATGCAAGATTAAAATATCCTCAATTAAGAAGTGTAAAAATCCTGGCACCATACAACAAATCTTTGAATTCTCCCTATTCAGAAAACTCTAAGAAAAATAAAACAAAATAAGCACACAGACTGCACAAACAAAAACAAAATTATTGTACTAGACCTGCTCTGATTTTGACACCATAAAACCAGTCATGTTAAATTCATAGAATCAAAACCATGGAACCACAGTACTCTGAAGGAGTTTCCTACCCTACCTTGGAAATCAGAGAATATTAACTTCAGTAGAACTCACTGATGTATGTTAAACCCTTTTTCCCCCAATTTATGTATGATTGCAGATGAACAATAGAATTTTTGAAAAGTGCGATTAAATTGGCAGCAGCTTTATCCTGCTGCAGCAGTCATGGAAGAAAAGTCAGTTAGTAGCAAAAAGGAAGGGACAGAATTTTAATGCTTGGTTAATTAAACACTTATTAGAGGAACCAAAGTAGAAAATGTATCTGGCTTTGCAACAATGCTTGAGGTTTAAACTCAATAATTTAGAACTGAAGTTTTTAATGTAAAAAAAGATTGATTAGCTTTCCAGTGATCATACATTGGCATACATATTGTAGTAAGAGGGGAAATAGAGTTTCAGCAGTGCAGTCACTCAAAACCCCAAGTTAAGATCAGCACCAACATTTTATGCCAAAATAATAATTAAAGCTCTAGCAGAATAGTAGATGTTCATTTTAAATTTATAAGTTTATCTGAACTCATTGAGCAGTGATTTTCTCCAGATTGCCAATGACAAACTTATAATTTTGATGTTGAGCAGTAAATTCCTATTTAATACAAATGATTTCATATGCAGTGTATTTAGCTTCTAAATGAAATAATAAAATAGATATTACTTTAAGTTAATATTGATAATCATATGTTTTATTAGGTTATTTTTCTTTAATGAGCATGGGTCTGAAAAATGGCCCCAATGTATTTTAGTCGGTCTATTTTTAATTATTAAAAATGCAATGTTTTATATTTTCAAGATAACATGATTAACATGTTTGCAAGTTATACAGCTTGGTAATAAAATAAACCTCTGAACCTATCACCCTCTTCAGAACTGGAAAATCACTAACAGCTGTGTCATTACCCTTTCCCACCCTTTGATGTGTCCTCTAGCACAACCAGTATCTCCAATTTTGTTCTATCATTGCCTTGGGGAGTTTAGTTTTATCATCTAAGTGTATATTCTTAGACAATATTGTTGTGATTATTTAGTTCTTGAGTATTAAAAAGTGATATAATGTATGCCATCTCCTCAACTGGATATTTATGCTATATACCTAAGTCGACTATCTGTGGGGAGTATCTATCTACTTGTTTCTGTCATCGCTGTAATGTTCCATGCTATTCCTTAATATTACATCAAGGGATTCTAATCATTTTTACACTAATTGACTTCTTCCTAGTGTTTGCTTATTGTATTGTATTAGACTTTCTGTCACTGTGACCAAAATACCTGAGAAATCAACTTTAAGTCAGAAAGATTTAGGTTGGCTCCCAGTTTAGAGGTTTCAGCTCCCGTTCAGTGGGTTCCATTGCTTTTCGGCCTGTGTGGTGAAGCAGATAGGTCATGGCAGAAGGATTTGGAGGAGGAAAGCACTCCCTTCTTGGGAGCCAGGAAGCAGAGAAAGGGAGAGCAAGCCAGGGCCAGGGACAAAATACATTCCCCCAGGCCATGCACCCAGGACTCCACTCCTGGTACTAGATCCCCCTCCTTGGTTTGCAGCATTTTCCATTCAGCCATCAAGTGATGAACCCATGCATGGATTGATCCATTGTCAAGGCCAGTGGATTCAATCACTCCAACCCTGAGCCTTGGGGATGTTTCAGATTCAAACCACAGCCCATGCCTATTGCTGCCATGAACATTCTTGGATGTTCCACTTGATACTTTCTTCAGGTATACACCTAAGCTCAGAACCGCCCTGTCTGAGCGTGTAAATATTCAGCTACATGCAGTAGTGTCAAGTCATTTTCCAGGCTGGTTTTACCAGTTTACATTTTGGCCAGCAGCGTATAAGCAGAATTGCTGTTCAGCACCCTTTATCTTAGTATTTGGTACCCCCTCACAGTTTAACATGCTTTTGTCTGGTTGGTAAAAGAGTTGCACATCTTTTCATATATGTACCCACTCTGTGAATAAACATGAAACATTTGAGCATCCTTTGTGCAATCAGGATAAATGTGTATTTACCCTTCTTGTTTTCCTTATATATTTGTGTGACAAATTCACATATCCTGGAAAATAATCTATATTTTCCTGTAAGTATTTTAACAGATGTCCCTTAATATCTAAGTGTTTCAAAATGAAAAATAATTCATTTTTTTTGTTTAGAGGGTAGTAAGAAATCCATAAATATTTTTATGGACACCAACTCACAATAATACTTGCACAGCACCCTGCTATCCCAGACATGTATAAAATTTCTAAGTATGTTTGTATCTGCCTCTGGTTCTTTTTTTAAGAGTAGCTATAGTTCTTTTCAATGCTCAAGTTATTTCTAGTTTGAGTATTATCATAATATAAATTAAGGGTGAGAAAAGACATACAGCAATCTTGGAGCAGTAATACCAGCATGAATCGTGAACTTACCGATTGATGTCAGGCTTTACGCCATTAATATTCTTTATGTCTCCTGTTTTTATCTACTTAGAAGGTAGTCTGTAGCATCTTAGAATTGGAAAGTACCTTAGAGACTACCTAGCTGTCTATGTCACTTATGAAGAAACTATTTTTCTTCCACTTGACTAATTCATCCATAGTCCCAAGATTCTGTAATTTATGGAACATTATAGAATCTTAAGAAAATAATGTCATTCACGTATGCTTTTCTTTATTAACTTGCTACACATAACTTCCCTGCCTAATAAATGTTGATTGTTGAGAAAAATAGTTAATGTAACTATGGCTGAGGCACAGAGAGGACCTCAGAAGAACTGGAGATGGAACATGATCACATCATTTTCCCCATCCCCTTACATGGTCTCACGTCCAGTCCAGGCTATGACCACCCTGAGAACCGCATGATTATACATGAGCTGTGAGAGAATACTCTTGGATGTCGCCGCGTATTTAACATAATTAAAGATCCTGAAAATGTCATGCCTGCCATGCACATTCTTCCCAGGAGGGTGAAAGGAAAAAGCAAAAATATGAGCTGCTTTGACCTCTCTCACAGAGTCAACCTCGTTTTGTTTTTGCATGATTTTGAAGCTTACAGTTCAGACCTCGCTTCTGAAAGATTATTCCCATTAATACCAATTCAGACCTAATTCATTTTAGAGAAAAACAAATTCATGACAACTTCTTTTTACACATCTTAAATATAGGACAGTGTTTGTTTACAGATTCTTGACACTATGAAGGGGTTATCTCCAGATTAAACCTGTCGTAAGTTGAAAATGGCTTAAGTCAGAAATACAATTATTATACCTAACATGGGGAACAGAATAGCTTAGCCACACAGCACTGCAGGGAACCGGGTGTGTCTCCTGGTTGCCATGGGGTCGACGGGGATGGTGGCTCACTCTCTACCATTGTCCAAAATCATGAGAGCATTGTGCTGCATGTTGCTAGCCACGGAAAAGACCAACATTCAAAATACCAACTGTCTTTCTGTTGGATGCACATTGCTTTGGAACCATTCTAAAGCCAAAAGCTTGTAAATCCAACCAGAGTCAGGTGAGACATGTCTGTATTTAGACAGAGTCTGTGTGGAATAAAAAAGCCTGTGGCCAGCAAGTCAGTGTGAGTAAGCATAGAAATAAAACCCTAGTTTTGTTACTATTATACATTTGCAATATAATGTAACTTGAAATTACTAGAATATATAATATTATCTTGGATTGCAATAAATTTATACTTTGCATAATGCAACATTTTGCAGAATGGAAGACACTAGGTCTGTTTGCATTTCCACACCTGCATGTGGTTGGCCATGAATTCAGATGGACGGTAGTTGTGAAGTAAGTACTGAAGTTCACACAGTTATTATGAGAAAACAACTGTAGAGTCTCAAACAACTGTAGGCTGATCACATGTTTCAATGATAGCATTTAGGGTAGGGTTGATTGAATAAATTACTTTATTACAATTAATTTCATCTTTTTATTGTGGCTAATAAGAATGCTAAAATTGCACCTGTGGCTCGATTTTAAGGCTTGTTGTATTTCTGTTGGACAGTGCTCTTTTGTGACTTTCAAATATTTGTCACTTATCTTTGTTTTGGATTCACATAAAAGATGAACTGAATTTTCAATCAGAACCAAGCTAAACTAATGATACACCATTTTTTATTTACAGGTTGGACCTAAACATCTAAATTCTGACAATGCTATTTTTGTAGGAATGCACTTCAAATATACGCTGTTTGTGAAAGTCTCTGATGAAGGAAGTCCTGTCCTTTCAAGTGAGAAGATATTAATCTAAAATAGTAAAATAGTTTGTCTTATATAAAATACTTAGAACTTGAAAATTAGTTATTAAAAGTTTATATTTTAAAATATTTCAATGATCTATTATAATAATATAAATTATAAATTACTATGGTTAGTTATTCATTTCATGTGTACTACTGCTTGCAAACTGGAAGCCTAGTTAAAAAACCTCAAATCACTTGAGATGATGGTGCTCAAATGTTTAATATAGCACTTTGCATTTACACTCAGCGTGAACTTTTCTCTAATCTCTGTGTATCTAAAAGATTCTTCAAGGAGTAAGTTTATTCTGCATTAGGGAAAATACTAATATTCAGATTCTCATAGTAAATTATATTTCCTGCATTATTGATTATATTGTCAGCCTGAACTATTTAATCATATTCCAAGTATTAAACACCATGTTGTCTCTTGCATACTATGATCTATAATTCAAAGCAGGAGAATTTATGTTTAGTCTTAACATAAGTGGCAATTACTTTTACAGGTTTTAAAAAATATCAATTAATGAAGTATTTTAATCCTAAAATTAAAAGCTCTATAATTTTAAAATTAAATTTTATAATAAAACTTATTACTATAATGCACTTGTGTAATTCATATACTTAGAATGTGATATGCAGTATGAGGTATTAATTTAAATGGCAAAGTAAGAATTATTGAGGAAACCACATAATTGTCCTAATTGCATTTTTATGTACTTCTTTCTACTTAGCAATGATTACAGTCATTATAAGGGTGATTCGCATAAATGAGCTGGAACCAGTTGGAACTACCTCAGCATTTACCTTCAGTATACTGGAAAATAGTCCAGTTGATACACTCGTGGGAAAACTTACATTTACAGATGCAGACTGGCCATTTAACAATCTAAAATACACCATTATTGGAGGCCATTTGGGAATGCCACCCAGATTTTACATGGAACCAGACACAGGTATTGTTACAATGCTGATAGCAATTAACAATAAAAACAAAGAGCTCACAGATACTCATTTGGAATTTATTTCATTTAGAAATTATAAGCACCAGAATATCTTTTTTTATATAAACTTTTCCCTTGAACTATGCAGTATTCACCTTGGTTTGTTAGTTGTAGCCATAAATCCTTAGTTACTGCATGGAAAGAACCAAACTTTGATCTGTGATATATTGAACTTCAGAAAGCGTCTGCACATGTATCACTTCCCTATACCTAAGAATGTGTAACAGGTGGCTAAAACACTGTTTGAATTAACATCTGTTATTATTTTGCTGCTGAAGTAAACTCTAGGGATATGTATATATAACCAAAATTAGACTGCATCAGTTAATTTCTATTTATTATTGTAAAGATTATTTCATTTATATAGCTTACTATTCAGCTTGAATTAAATGTCTTTAGTTATCCAGAAATGACAAGTCTCCCTCTTTTTTTGCATCAGGAATGATAAAGCTACTGGAGTCACTAGACAGGGAAACTGAATCACAGTACAAGATAGTTGTGAGAATTACAGACATGGACAATGATGCTGCCCCTGACCCCCTTAGACAGAGAAGTGCGACTGCTCAGGTGATGGTCAACGTCCTGGTAAGAACGAATCACGTCCTGTGACATTGCTGTCCCTGGGGAGGCACATTCTTGAGAAATAAAAATGAAGCATAATTGTGAGGTTAACATCCTCAGCACGGATTTAAACTCAGGGAGTGACATGTTTGGTACAAAGGTACAGGGGTAAAACTGCCTTATACATACACTAAGCTGTACGCCTTCTGAATTAATGTGATTATCTTACAAATCTGAACCTAGGGGAACAGCACCTAATGTCTCTGCTTATATTTAAGTTGTTTGTAGAATCATTCTGTGGTTATGCATATTTTCAAAAACCAACGTACACTCTAGAGTTTTTTGAAGTTACTCTGATGCACTTTCATCATTTTTTTTGCTTTGCTCCTTCTTTCTTCTCTGATTTTCACTGAAGAAATACCTTAATTTTTCACTAGAAGAGATTCCTAAATATCAGTCCTAGAGTACTGCAAGCATGAGACCTAGAAGCAAAGGCTTGGAAATGTTTTTAAGACATTCCATGCAAGAATCCACTGGGCTTGGCTTGTGCAACACTTCCATCCATACTGTTTTGTGCATTGCATTCCCTACAGAGCTGTACAGAAACGGCCTTTCTCCTTCAGAAAAAGTGCCAGATTTTCTGCATCTTCTGACTTTGTTTGCATTCTTTTTTGCTACTTGAGAGCAGTAAGAATTCCACCCTGCATCCTATAGAAAAGGCAGTAACTTCTAATAAAGGTTCAAAGGCACCGACAATTGCTGCGAGCCCAGCAGTGAGTACTTTCACATGTGTTCGCAGTGAGCGGAGGCCTTGAGCACCCGTGGCTCAGTGCCCCCGCACCGTGGGCTCATTGTGCCTGGAAAACACAACAACCAGGCCAGAAGGCTTTGTGGGGAGAAATTTAATGAAGTGATGCCAGTGGTTTCTGCCCTGACTCGAGGATGTCAGAAGCTAGTGAACTCCTCTCCTCATTCTGGCTTCCACTCCCCAACCAACTCAGAGTGGCAGCTCGAGTGTCATGGATGTCCTGTGTGTGCCCTTCATATGTAAGGCCCTGTGCCTCAGCACATACGGGAGCAAAAAATCTCCTTGTTCATCATCCATAAAAATATTTGTGTTTTTTTTCTTTTAAGGGACTAGAATGATTTATTTGGGAAATTAATATTTGATTTCTTCATATTAGGTAAGAAGATATTTCCACCATCACATGAGTGGGCTTAAATTTTACCTAAGATATAGATAGTTACTGAATTTTGATATCTACAATCTAAAATTGATTCTGACCTAAATTTGGGCAGAAGGTTCAAAAATGTTATATTCAGAAAAATAAGTTGAATCACAAAGCGATATCACAATACAGTTGTATTGTTTTTCCAGTACCAGGGATCGAACTCAGGACCTTGCATTTGCCCGGCAGGTGCAGTGCCACTGAGCTAAATCCCAGGTCCATGCAGTTGGACTTTTATAGTGTACCTTGTTCCTAAAAAGATTAAGCTGATATGTGTAGATAAACACAGTACAGAAATACTATTTAAGAGGTACATTAATGAACCTAAATTTCATGTGTAAGAACGAACAAGCAACAGAAATCTATGTCTTTCAGAAAATGAAAGATTAATACTGTTATGGATTGAATGATCTTACCTTGCCCCAAACCTACACACTGAAGCCAACACCATGCGCACTTGGAGGTTATTTGTGTTTGTGTTGAGATTAGAGTTAGATGATGACATAAGTGGAGGCCCTGCTCTGATTGAATCGGTGTCCTCATGTGACAAAGAGATGTCAGAGTGCTGACTGCTCCGCCCACGTGCACGGTGGGCAAGGGCCTCCTTCAGGGCCGAAAGAGGCCTCACCGGAAACCCAGACACCAGGACTTGACCTTGGATTCCTGGCTCTAGAACTCAGAAACAGTGAAGTTCTGATATGTAAGTGGTGCGGTCTGGGGTCTCTTGTTACAGCAGCCCACACAGACTAAGACAGATGCCAGATGCCAAGTCGTTTTAGTGAACATGAAGATATTGGAAAGTTATCATATTAAAAGTCAGAGTCCTAGCAAATACTTATAGATCAATAGAACATAGTGTTGGGTCTAGGATCAAAGCTCTCCAAGCTATCAAAGTTAATGATAAATGACTGTACAAACAGGGTCAGACTAAATAATGACCCATCTTTTGAAAACAGTGAGTATAGAAGGCAACCCATCCTGTGAAATAAAGCAAATACCTGAATGGAAAAGTGGTTTTATCTAGTCAGAGACAACATTTTACATTCCTAACACTCGAGCCAAGTAAACCAATATTCACACCAATAACCTGCCTGCCTGGATCTGATGTAAAACAAAGCATGATTATCTTTACTGATGTAAAACCAAACCAAAATAAAAACTGAAAAACAAAAACAAAAACCAGCTTCATAGCAGGACCATATATTGTCTATTCCACCAACATGAACTTGCTGACAAGAATTTGCATACAAAATTGAAGGCTGTTTTGTCTCCTGCAAAGAGCATGATAAATTTCCTCAGAGGATAGTTTCTAAATCATCGCCGTCTCTGCCGTGGTTCTTTTGAAGAAATTGTTACCAAACACATGCCCCTTCTTTCCAAACTGGAGTGCAGAGCCTCTCCTATGGCCAGATGCTTAGTTCATTCCTGGAATGTGTAAAGATGTCTTTCCCTTCACATCTAAAATAGGAATAGAATCGATGACTTGGAAACTAATGTCTGTCCCTGCTTGAATGTGATTTCAAGGGTAGTCACACTCTTATAATTCATTCCTGCTCTAACTAGCTAGTCTGAAAAAACACAGAAACTTCTACAAAACTTTATAAGGAAAACACTCACTTGAAAAGGAAAATTTTAGTAACTTTGCTTTCTTGTACCTAGGGGTTAGGAAGTTCAGAAATGACCATACAAAATGGGAAGTCATTACCAAGTTCACTGTCTCTCTGTGGCTGTTTTTTCTTGAAGAGCAATGAATGCTGGATCTATTCATCTTTAACCTGTTACTGTTAGACACAAGAACCACTGATTGCGTGCTCATATATTTGGTGTCCAAGGCACTGCCAAATTTCTCTTGTACCCGCTGCACTATTTTTAAATCACAAATTCTTTAGCCAATTGGCTTAGAAAAGAATCCCATCTTTACCATAGTAAACTATTTTATTGTGCTGCTGGGCAAATTATTGGACTTTTTTTACTCATTTTCTTGTTATAAGATGATGACGATAATGCTATTTTGGAAGTACAGATCAGGCTCAATAAATGAACTCTTGTCAAACACTGAGAGGCTCATAGCACTATTCAAGTGCTCTGCAAGTGGAAAAAAAACAGAAAACAGCTAGAGCTATTCCACAAGTGAAGAAGATACTGATAGAAATGATCGTTCTATTGTATCTATATACTTTACTACAATTAGCTTTTCATTGTCTACTCATCAAAATGAAAGCTAGAAACCTCTTTAGTGTGACTGATAAACACTGTCAAAATGTTCTTTTTTCAGATTATGAAATAAAAGCTGCAGAATAAACTTGGCTATCTTTATGGGCATAAATTTCTTTCATGCACTAAATGTGGCATAGTTTAAGGAATTTTAAAATATAGCATAAAGATCTAACCTAGTACAGATTTTGATTGTAAGATCCATGAGATCAGAATAAGGAAAAAAGAGAATACAGAATGCATGCTGAAAGAAACAAAAGAAAAAGAAAAACTATCATAGTTCTAGAAGACATCCAAATTGGATATTAATTATTCTTTTTCAAGGTCCCTGTTTATATCTATTTTGTTACTTAGGGCTTTCTGAATTGCAGTAGAAAAAACTTCTTATTCTATGAAGTTCTTAAGCCCTTGAAAGCAAGATAAGTTTTCTTCTTATGTATATTTTATCTTTGTCTAATAATCATTTTATGTACACAATTTACTGAAAAAATATGTACAAAAATAGAATTATATATAGGAGCATGAGGAGAAAAATAAATTAAGGCCTAAGTACTGTCATAGAACATGAGAATTTTAGAGCTTGAGAAAAATCTGAGGAAAAAAATCTCCCCTCATTTTACATGAAAAACCTTAAAATTGCTTCAGAAATGTTCAAAAGCAATGTAATTTTGATGGGTCCCTAAAAATGCAATTATCACATTTATGTATCTGTACATGCATGTATGTATTTACATGTGTGTGTGTCTTTATATACAGAGAGAAATACGGGGACCGAATTTGAAGGTTACTTCAAAGAAAATTAAGAAATAAAATGACATTTCCTTTCTTGACAATTTAAAAAGTTATTCTCTGAGGTAGTGGGAGAAAAGCAAATCATAGGTCTTATTCCCCACAATGTGTTTTTAACCAGAAATACAGAATGTTTTACTAAATTTAAATTGAGCAAAAGTGATAAAACATAAGCATATATATATATACAATTAAAATGAACAGCATGCATATTTAATTTCTGAATGAAATTTACATAGTCATGTTATTACTTTAGCTGCATGGGGCAGGGAGTGTTTGTGCAGTGGGAGAGCATGTACCTAGCATGTGTGAGGCTTTGGGTTACGTCTCCAGCACTGAAAAAAAAGACATAAATTTGAACTAATTGCATTTATTTAAAGGACATTGCAGATTTGGGAATGACATTAACTTTCTGTATCAATAATGCCCTAATAACCTGTAAACGTGAAAGATATATGCAGCCATTAATCGTAAATACTGTGTCCCGTTTTTACTAGTTTTCTAGGGTTGCCCTTAAATCCAAAAGCTGAGGGCTGGGCAGTCTGAGTGGTCAGGAGGGCTCTGACCCTGGCATGGATTCATGGATTCATCTGCTTAGAGACGTACAGCTTGGTGGGCTTGGGGAGGACACTGCTTTGAAAACAGCCCCGCCCCGCCCCGCCTTCCCTCTGTCTCTCCTCCCTGGCTGAACAGACCCGCGGCTCTTCTCCCCACAGCTTCTGCCGTGATTCACTACCTCACTGCAGGACTGAAGGCACTTGGGCCCGGAGACCATGGACTGAATCCTCTGGA